TTGTTTATTTTTATATATCGAGTTAAATACAGAGCGTCGATTACACCTCGATAAAGACTAGAAGTTTATGTTTATGTAACGCACGGAGCCAGGCAGGCAGCAAGCAGGTACAAAGTGACCGTCTTAATCAAGGAACAATGAGTAGAACAACATGAGCTAGGCACCGATATCCGATCGTTTCGACCTTTTCGACATCGTGATACAAACGTACTACAGGATGTCTCGCGACACACCAACACGACGTGGCTGTGGATGATCGAGAGATTCGTGGTTTCCGTGGAAAGTAGATAAAAGAAAGCGAATACCCGCGGGAGTAATTTCTTTTGAACTTTTTCGTTCGATCGAATCCGTTAATAAACAAATATTCTCCGTTTCGCGACAAACGTTCACGTTTCCCGTATATTTCCGAGGCGAATGAATTTTCATTTTCTTCGTCGAACAACAAACGTTTCGTTCGGGCCGTTTTTTTTTCTTTTTTTTTTCTCTTTTTTTTTTGTACGAATTTAAACGCCGATTTCAGATGGACGGTCGTGTTGGTTCATAACCAGACATCTTACACGCGTATATATCTCGTGCGATTTATCTGTGAAGACTGGACAATTGGAAATATTCGAATCTATAGCGCGAATCAATCATTCCCAATTAGAAGAGAAGTTTTCGTTTAATAGTCGTCTATATCTACTGATTCGTCTCTGCATCTAGAAAGTTAGTTTGAAAAGTGGCATGACATTATTTTTTCCTCATTCTGTATTCGAGTTTTAATTAAGTAGTAATAAAGTTATAATTAATTATCTTTTAATTAATTAAAGTGGCAGCAGTTAGGCCATGCGGCTCCTATCATCTAGTCGTCTTTGACTCTTGGCTTTCTTAGGTAGATTTAAAAATTTGTTTACTTATTAAACTTTTTTTTTTTTTGTAATATTTTGAGAATAATTTGTATTAAGTGACTTTTAAAGTTTATGTATTCCTCGAAGCGCCTACCCTAGCGATGTCTTTTTTTTTTTTTGGTTTAATTAGTTAATTGTTTTTTAGCATTTTCTCGTTTTCTCGTTTTTCCCCCGCTCTTCGTCCGTACCTCGATAAAGTTTTTTTTTTTTATGTACGTGGTAATAATGCAATTTCTAGAATAGTAATAATAAATGGGGGAACTGTGAAATATTTTGTCCGCGGCGTCGACTTTTCCATCTGGGAACATCCGTTCTATCGCGACTGAAAAATACTGTGTGCAAATCTCTTTGTTTCCCTCCCCTCCCTCCCTTTCCCCGTTATCGTTATTATTATTATTTTAATTTGTTGTGTTTTCGAATCCCGGAAAAGCGACGATGCCGCCGGTTTGTTTAGCGATCGGGCCCCCAAACTGCCTCGGAAACTCTCGAAAGAAAACCCCCCCCGTTTTTTGTAATTCGGCGTGTACGATACTAGAATTTCTGCCTTCCCTTTCATTTTCCCTAAGTATTTCTTTCTTACACTTATTCGCCCAAGTGTTTACGTCGCGTTCGTTCTTTTAAATTTATTTAATTATCGTAAAATTCGACGCTTGATTGCCACGCACGAAGTTGTACAAGCCCGACAGACTAAAAATATTCCTATAGGTGAGACTTTTTTTCCCTTCGTCATCGGCCTCGCTCCTCCCTCCCTCCCGATTTCTGTAATCTTTTTTTACATTTTCTGTTTAATCGTTTTTTAACGTTACTATACTCGCTAGCCCTCGTTTAATAGTTTCTTAAATACGTAATAAGCAAAAATATGAATATAATAATAGTTTTATGTATATAATAATAATTATTATTTTACTCGTCTCGTTTTAAGTATCGATAGGATCGTGATTAATTAATTAATTAATTAATTAACAATGATTAAAAGAGTGTGTAAGAATTTGTTATCTCTCCCATTTTTCGTTCTCTCCCGATTCTATCGTTCGCGTTCTTTCCCCGTTTTGTCGCCCCCGTTATTTATTTGTTTTTTTTTTTTTGTTCCTATTATTTATTATTTCTGTTTTCTCGTTACTCGCTTCGTTATTAACTAATAATTCTTTAAGCTTAGTGGCATGAAAATGCTCGTTGGAATTGACTCGTGTGTACAGTATCTTATACAATTTTTTATTTTTTTTTTTTTTTTCTTTTTTCTTCTTTTCCGCTCGCACTCCGCACAGTTACCTCGCTACGAGAACCACCCCGTGTGCAGCCTCGCTGTAAAACGCCGCAGGATCAACGCAGGACTTTCCTTATTACTTTTCATTTTTTTTCTTTTTTTTGTTCCTTGTTGCTTTGTTCCTTATTTATTTATTTTGCTCGAGGACGAGGATCCATATCGACAGATTCTCTCCCGACGGCGTGAAAATCTCGAACTCACCATTTACATGAAAATTTCTCTGTCTGTCTGTTTGTCTCTCACCGTCTCGGCGACGCGTCGTCCCCGGATGGACGTCGAGACGTTGGATTCAGCTTGTAACTTTTTATTTATTTATTTTTTTTTTTTGGTATTTTTGTTTTTTTTTTTTTTATTTATTTCGTTTGTGGTATTTTCTGCGGAAATACTTTCTTGGATCACCATTAATTTATCACAATAGATTTTTGTCTTCTTAATCGATTCTGAACGCGGGTACCACGGCTGTGCCCTTCCCCGTGTACATAATTATAACCCGCCTCGCGCTACGCCCCCTCCCCCCTTTAATTTAAATTCATTTTTCATTCCCTCTTTCCTCCACTTTATTTACTTTTTTTTTTTTCGTTACCTCTATTTTTTATCTTTATCTAAAGAACCTTTAAAAAAATCCCCTACTGGAGAGAGAAACGGTAGGTAGTTTGTAACAATGTAATCGGCTATCTTACCCTAAATGTAACGCTACGAAGTTGATTATACTGTGACTAAGCACAGCCCGTGGATGAAGCGCCCCTCTCCCTTGAACGAGGAAGGGGCTCTTAATATTCATTTTTATTTTTTTTTTTTGTTTCCTTTTTCACAACTTTTTTACCTCGTTTTAAACTCTCCCTGGCTCTCTTTCTCTCTAGCAGCCCTCTTTTGTTCACACGCTCACTCTCGTCCATGCTCACTTTCTCTCGCTCTCTTCCTAGATCCCGGATACACCTAACTTCGTCGAAAATAAGGTGCTTCTCCTTTCGTGCATCGCCTTTCCCTTAACAAGCGACAAAAGAAAACGCTCGCGCGACGGAAGAGATCATTGCTCGTCGTATCTAAATAGAATTATGCGCTATCGATACAACTCCTCGGAACGTTCGTGAACAAATTAATCAAAAAGAAATTAAACGAATTAAACTCCGAGTACAGTAAATCAAACAATAAAGAAAAACAGTAAAAAGTCGTTTATTACATGACGTACCAAGTCTTATAAAATATTGTTGCTCGTCCCCTACGTAAATAAAAGAAGAATGCGACGTTTCGCGAAATATTGGGACAAATCGATTTTTTACTGAGACGATCGAAAAAAGAATCGACGGCTCGAAAGATGATTTCTTGGAAAGTCGGTTCAAAGTCGAACGTAAACGAAACGTGAACAACAAGAACGAAGAAAATGGACGTCGAAGGCCAGGGACCGTTCAGTCGCCCGGCTTGCGAAGATACAAACGACCAAACAAAACGTGGAAAAACTAACTAGTGCGGGGGAAAAAATCAGTGCAGAACGATCGTTCTCAAAATGGTTTCAGCAGAAACGTAGTCTCCTTTGTACTCTCGGTGGTAAATTATACGTCGACGACGTTCGATGCCTCGGCAAGCGGAAGACGACGGTAAATCGATAAATTCGTCGTTCAATTGCGTACGATCGATGAATAATATTAGGTGGGAGGAAAAGAAATCCATTATTTTTCACCTGGATGGCTGTAGCGATATATGTTTCGTAAAATATCGATGAAACAAATTGAAACTTGTGCTCGTTGGAAAAGTGACTTCTATTACCTTTAAAATGGCAGCAAATTATAAAACAAAACGATATGTATTCGACCCAAGTCGGACAGTCCGAAACATGGTAAATAAAATCTTGAAATGAACGTGAAAATAATTGATCTCTTTTCCTCCAATCTAATATAATGATCCTCTTGAGCCAATTTCAAGAAACTGAATATGTTTCAATTTACAACAACGTAAAACTCATGTTCAGATAGAGTCTTAACATATTTATTGACGATGTAAATTTACGTAGTGTCGTTGTCCTTATGATATAGCTACAGTTTCCAGCTTGAAAATGATGTAGATTTGTTCTGTATTCGACGAACTTTTGAGAAGTCAAACTCAGAACGACCAACTTTCTCATCTTTCCAGATGAGAAGATCAGGTACTCGAGGACTCTTTTTGACAGTATAGTTGTACAAATTTATCTAACATCGCCATATGTATCAAGTAAATTTATTTTGAATTTTCTCTTAGCTGTGCCAAAGACTATGTACCTGAAAAAGGTCGAATCAAAACAAGATCATAAACTACACACGGTAGTGCAAGATGCAACAAATTTTGTACACAATACTATGCACGTGCGAGAAGTTGGCTAACGGGGCGAAAGAGGAGGCGAGAGAGTACTTCCCGCGTACCTTTCGCTAGCCAACTTCTCGCGAGGGCACACTACTTTTCCAAAAACTACACGATATTAAACAAACCTTAATCAGGCAAAAACTAGCACAGCTACTGGATCGAAATATGCAAAATCTTACGAAGCTCAAAGGATTGAAGTTCTAACTGCTAAAAAGGACGAAATCCTATAGCGTCGAGTGTCCCCACTCGAAACCCCACAATTTCACCAAGATCACTATATGCCTATTATCGACCATACTGTATATCCGTGTGTTTCTGATACGCCTGCCGAGACATCGTGATTATCACCTACCTCTAGCGTACCGTTGAAAAAAATGCAGCGAAAGGTATAATAACGACAGCATCGAATGAACTTCAAGCGAAACGAAAGCTGTCTATGTATGTATGTTGGGTGTGTACGTGTGTATGCCGTGTGTAGTGACAGTAGTAGATCAGGACGAGGCGCGACCCTTGAGCTGAACTGTGGGGACAAAGATACGAAAGGTGGATAGATTTAGATCAAAGGCAGGTACATGTTCAATCAGGGATTGTAGAGAGCAAAGTGTGTCCGTGTTTTGGTGGTCATAAACCTTTCCTCTCTCTCTCTCTTTCTCGCTTTCTCTCTTTCTCTCTCTCTCTCTTTCGATTCATCTATCCCTCGTCTTTCTCGTTGGTGGTGAACCTCCTCGGTGCTTGCACGGAAACGTCGAAAATAATTCCTTTGTCGGTCGTCCACACGACGACGACGGATATACGCGAATGGCTAGGCTCTATTGTTTCGCTTCCGGAGTGTCGTCGGCGTTCTGCTTGTTGTTCGATCGACAGTCGATTAAGTGACCTCTTGGTTGGCGGCTACTAGGCTGGCCCCTGGGCTAGATGAGGGCGAGCTTTGGGGGACAGCAACCGCCCGTAAAATGCCCGCTGGCGGCCTCCCGTTCACGCTTGCGGCGGCCCTGGCGTTCTGCAGCCTAATTGGAGAAACGCAATTCGTTCATGTAGATCCATTTTACCTCGCCCCGCTATTGCGAATGTGCATACATGACACTGAATGACCAAGCACTCTGAGGAACACGTCAACTACGTAAACAAACGAGCGCATCTAAAGTCAGTGGTTTGTCCGCAATTAACACGTTGCTCGAGAATCAGTATCGAAACATACTTCGACGCGTCTTCGATTCCCCGATCATCTCGCGATCCCAGTTTTGCGTTAACGCGAGAAGTTATTCCGTTTCGAGCGTCGACGAACGATTCGCGATGTTTTGCTACTGTGCGTTCGCAAGAAGTTGTCCATAGGTCTGCCTATTCGTCGTTTCGGCCAATAGCGCGCCATTAGCCAACTTCTCGCGGACGCACAGTAGACGTAAGGTGATATCGAACGAAGATTGATGAATTTGTGGACTTGTAACAGGCGTGTCGAACTTAATTTGGCCCCAAGAGTAAATTTTGCATTTTATTACCACTATATTGCTATTTTATAGATAGGAATAGTTATCTTAGCGTGTCCCAGAAAATATTGCATCGCTATAGTTACTTTGTATATGTATCAAAACATTTAAAACAAACTCTTACATGTACTCGTATCTGATTAAATCTCTTTTTAATATTAACACTGGCTTTTATCTATTAGTCATTTTCTGTAGGACAAAAGGGAGCTATGTTTTTATTAGCGAACAGGTGGTTTTATAAATTGAGATCTTCCTGGCCCTTGATTATTTAATTTCAGGGACCATGACTGTTATTTTTGGTCCGTGTTCAATCTGTACAACAATGCTCAATCCTTAATGTACACTTTTACTAAATACGCATGAGAAATCTATCAATACTTATTGAATGTACAGGATGTAAACAAAATATATTTGTAGCGAGATTCAGGCATGAATTGAAACGTCTGGTTTCTTGGAGGTTTGAAAATTGCAGACGCTTCCAGTCAGCCTAGAAAACCGCAGCAAGTATTCTCTTTGGCAGACCTGGACTTTAATTTTAATCGAGCATAATAAAATATGGATATCTCTCAAAGACTTATTCAACAAACCACTTAATAGTTTTATTTCAGTCGTACAATATACCAGAAAAATTCACACGACAACCTGTTCAACGCGTTATCACTATGAAATACTTGAAATTACAAATACACATGGCCGACTAGGTTTATATATTACACAAATTTCTTTCAATCTATGAGAATGCATAATGTAGCTGTATTTCAAATCACAGTTACATTAAAAATGCCCAGATCTGCTCTTCACATTCTGAACGCACACGTCGTACACGTAAACTCAATCAACGGTTTCGCCTGCAAGAGCGACGTCGTTAAAAAAAAAATACTTCCCCGTCAATCGTCGAGCAACGCGATAATTGAAGAATCTCGTCTCGTCTCTATGACAAGCTCCGTATGTGAACACTGTTGCATGGACTGATACTCCGTAACACGATTAGAACATTTAAAAAACAGGAAAGACACAAAGCACCGGTCGCATTCCGTAATAAAACACAGAGACTAATCTCGTGGATGGTTCCGATTCTTATATATTCTTTTGTTTTCCCGTTCTTCCCGGAGAAGCGATCGATATCGAGTCGTTAGTTTGGTGTCGTGAAACAGGGTGCACTGATCGTCCTGGTGAAAGCGAAAGAGCGAGTATATCCTCACGGGATAAGAGTTTACGAGGGAGCGATAAACGAGCAGTGTTTGCCGCGCGACAATCGCCCTACTTGTTTTTCGTTACTTACCGGTCGTGAATCGTCCCACGACAAGCTGCATTAGTACACACAGAAGAGGGAGACTTTAGAACTTTTAGATGTCTTTCGTACGATAAGCCTTTCGTGTGCTAACAAGAAGTCTACATAACTAATAATGCGTGCACACCGTTGCAACAGGAAATGCAATTATGTGCACCGGCCGGACACTAACTTGATTTTCGACTGTCGCATGAATTGCTGTATTTTCCTGGCCGCCTGATGTGCCGCCTGCTGATGGACAGCCTGCTGCCTCGAGCTGCCCGAGCCTGGACGCGAACGATAATTCCGGTAGTTACTTTGTATCACCAGCGCGGCCTTCGTAGCTTGTCTGCGAAAAGGTAAAATTGGAGCACACCGTGAAATAAAACCGCCTCGAAGGACACGCTCTGGGAATGCGCTAGTACATTCGTGGTAACGGACGAGCCAAAAAGAAGCGGGGCAACGGTGCTGGTGGGTGAGGAAGGTAAAGCTTTCATCTCAAACAAAAGTCGTATTAATTTAATGCCAGGTTAATTTTGTATTCGGTACGCCACGTCCGGAGGTAAGGAACTTCCTAAAGTTTTCGAATTATTTACGATGCCAATTAAAAGTTCCCTCCCCCCCAAGAGGCGGACAGAACGAACTTCGGTGAAATCCGTCCGATTCAACTGGATCGTTAAATTGGCCCCACCACGGTTACGCCCCTGTCCTACCGCTTTATTAATTGCCGCTTATTAAAACTAACGTCCCAACTCGCGAAACACTGACGAGAATTTAACGGTTCCGACCGTGCCCGGAACAGATCGATGCGACCCGTGACCCGTGCACGAAGATGCTTTGGAAGGACAATGGCTCGATGGACGCCATTTTCGGTAAGTTACTCGAGAAGACTTTTACGCGATACGCTTCTCCGCGTTTCGATAAATCACGAAACAATAATTCGTTTTCAGTAATAATTAATGAAAAACGAGTTTCTTCTCATTTACAGTGAATAGCCATTATAGTGTACGAATATAAGTGGGAGTAACTGTACGAGAAACTGTAAACCAATATCTATCTTCCATATTCGCCATTAACCTATCGTGAGTTCGATTAACGATATATGGCTATAAACAATCTGATTATTACAACTATTGTCCAATTTCTTATACCAGAGTGGTTTCGATTGGGAATTTGTGTTTATTAGAACACCATCTGTCAATTTATTTCCTATTACCAGTCTCTATGGTATAAATTTAATCAGAAGCTAAATGTAACTTGATTTATAGAGGATTATAAGGTCCATACTACGGTTTAATAGTTTGACGTAAGAACTCTAAGTTGGTCCAAAACCAAAGTATGCTGTATCAGCCTTACCGAGACTGTTCCTTGGTGGTTCACACTGTGCAAATAAATATTGAGATCTGAACAGACCCTTAACCGCCCTTCTCCAACGAATACCGAAACCGTTCGTTCCTGAATAGTATCATTTTTATAGCGTGGTCAGGATAGGAAGAGGATCCGGGATGAAAGAAAACGGCCGCGTGGTGTTAAGCTAGAAACCGATTACCTATAATAAGCGTACTGTTTATGTCGACGATAATATTGCTGGATGAGAACAGCGGCGTGTCTCTCGGCTTCCTCCTGCCTCTGGCGGCCCTTGTAATTTCTGTAGGCTTTCTGGATCATTCTGGCGGCATGGTACAGCTCCCTTTGCTCCCGATCGGAGAGAGTGAGCCTGCTCAGATCCGCCTCGCTACCGTCGCCGGCTCCGTTACCGCCACCTGTCACACTCCCGCATATTCCTGATCCCATCACGTTACCGTACTTCCGGTCGCCGCCGGTCGAGTAGTATTGACCGTTGTGGCCGTTGCTGCTGTCCAGTTGCAGCTGCAGCTGCAGGAATTCGCAGAAATCGGCCGTGGTGGGCGGCGGCGACGGAGAGTCGGGCGTCAGGCAACTGCTGGATGGACTCGAGGGGCTGGCGTCGGCGTCTACGTCTGATACCGACGCTGCGCCTCCGCTGCAGTCGCGATACGACTCGAACAGTTCTCCGGAATCGAGGGGCTGCAACCACCGTAACAACGACGGAATTAATTTTCGCAGACCAACGAGGACAGCTGCACGGATCATTGTCAAACTGGTTTAAAAGCGTGATCAACTTCTTTGTTAAAAAAAAAAACAATTTTACATTTTTGAAGTTAACGACGTTAACTAAGAAATCACGTGAGCCCTCGAGCAGCCTCGGAAATCGAGACGCTAAATTGAACGAATCAGATGTTGTCGAGTGATCGTTAAGCAAGGGTCGAACGCTTGCGAGAAAGACGAGAGCGTAGCCCTCTGGTGGCGAGTATGGCCAAAAAACACTTACCATTTGTTCCATCAGAGCGTCCTCCAGTGGCGACAAGGGCGGTGCCGGGGGAGGTGGCGAGGAAGAAGACGGGGAATCGCCTTCCGCTCTCTTGATCCTTTCCGGTAGCGCCGCTATAATTTGCTCAGCCAATGTCAGCACCCTTGCGTCTTCCTCCCCTATAAAAAGGAATCACCACCCTAGCCAAACTCGAAAAAGGTGTTTACGGGACCGGCGAAATCACATCGATCACAACACCGAGGTTTTGTTTTAAAAAGCCGTGAACGCATATTTTTTTTTTTTGTTTGTTTTCAGTTGTTTTTTTTGTTTTTTTTTTTTTTAGTTTTCTATGGTGAACCAAATCTGAACGTTAATCGATTATTTTCAGCACGATGCGGAGAGAGAGAGATATCTCTGTACGACACGAATCGAATCGTCGTCGACGTTTATTCTCCGCTTGTCGGAAGCTGTTCCGTGGCGCTACGTGTGCAACCGACTCGTGGTTAATCCGACAGGCGTTTCCGGATTCGGTGTACACGAGTTTTCTCGCAAGTGCGTGTTCTCTTAGCTCTCCAATTTTCACGGGCATATCCGCGAGCCGGAGACGGGACCGTCGGGTACCTCTCTCGAGGAACTGTGTCGGCAGCCGATAATAGGCGGCTAAGAAAGGTTTAGACGTTACACAGCAATCATCCAACACCCAGCAGTTACGAAGGCCAAGCAACACCAATACTGCTTTTAAGCTGCAAGAGTTCAGAGGAGTTAGAGGACAGCGAGCCTGGACCGATCCCGGTCGTCTCGTACGCATAGACAGAGAGAACAGAGAAACGGAACAAACAAAAAGAACTTTCGTGTGTGTACGGTGTTATGTGTGGTGTGTACATGTGGTGTGTGAAACAGAGAAAGAGACAGAGAACAGAGTTTATGGGACGCAGTTTTAGCTAGGAACACTACGGATTCGCAGCACGCGCAGTAATGTTTATCTAGGCCGATGAATCTATTTAAGTGTACATTAGAAAACAGACAGAGTTACGAATAGTTACAGATAGACAGGCAGACAGACAGACAAATAGAAGGGGAAACGAGGAAGGTACGGACCTACAGTCTCCTGAGGGGTCGGAGCGCTCTCCATTCCCTGCTCGCTGAGGGCTAATGACGAGTCATCCTCTTGCAACAATTCCATGTTGTCCAGCAGCGGCGAGCCACCTGTGTTTTTCGATAAACCCCTTAATTGCTACGTTTCCTGATTATGTTACGCTCGCATGTCTTACGGCCTTTTACTCTAAATTCTTACGGGTTGGCTGGGTTGGCGGGGCGTGGGGGGGAGGGATGGTCAAGGGGATTCATGGCGCGGGGGGTGTAGTGGCTGGGGGGACGCTGTGATTTACGTGTGGACGTGAATGTATGTGCGTGTATTTACGGAAGAGGGCAGTATAATAGCAAACGAGACTAACACAACGCCAGATCGAGACCGCTGTCTTGAGATGGCCTCCTAGGGCTAGGGCTGGCCGGTCGCAAGAAAAGCCTCTCGTCTTGCCTTCTGGCTTCGAGTCGATTTAATTCTTCCGCGATCGCCGTGTGACCGTTCTCCGCCGCTAACTCGGTCGCGCTTCTATTCTGGCAATCCCTCACGCGAAGCGCCATCGCGTTCCATCTGCGGAAACAGAGAAACATTCGCAAAGCCATACCGGTGATGGACGCCACGTTCATCGTTCCTTCGTGACTAAAGCTACGGTCGACTCTGTTTTTATTTCTCGCTGTCGTACGCAGAGTCTGAAGCAGCCTCGGGGATCAAGAGGCATTAACCCTGTGCGCATCCCCCATCCCGCTTTTATCGAATTAGGAACGTCCCAATGGATTTGCTTTCTTTGCGTAACGGTAAGAAGAACGAATATGTCCCCGTTATGACTGAATTAGTGGCGTACTGGAGATAAAAGCACGTGAAAATACGCCTGTAATAACGTTCAGATGCTTGAAAACATGCAAAAACACTGTTGTTTTACGGAGAAACGGAGAATGCTGTCGCTTCTATTGAATTAGTAGCTGCGTGCTGATACCCTAAAGCTTACGCTCCTTTTTCGTACCACGCCTTTAAGCAATTTAGACCTAGAACCGATTCAAGAACATCCCGTACAAGACTCGATCAAATTCGATCGATCCTGCGTTACACTTCAGACGTCTGCTTCGTGCTCCCGTATAAATTCATCTACTTGAACGGCCCAAGGAAACCAGTCCTGATCGATGCATACCTATACAATATCCTGGCAGTATCTGCGTGTCCCGCGGCACAAGCCCAAGCCAGTGGCGTAAGGCCAGCACTATCCTGCCTCAGGGCATCAACTTCAGCATCTAATACGCTACTAGGATTTTCCGCTCTCCAGTGAAGGAGAGCGCAGGCTAACCTGGAGTAGCCCAATCCGGCGGCCAAATGCAACAGAGTAGGGCCGCCGGATTGTAACGGTTCCGCTCCGGTTCGCCACGGACGGACAACAGCATCCTGGAACCCAACAAAATAACATCCGTTTAACGTCGAGAATCTCGATGGGTGTCAAGCAACCACTTGTCTCTGGGTGTTACTGACCTGACAATACGCGACTAGTCGCTCTTCCAAGTGAGCCGCGGGTGACGGTGGACCAGGTCCTTGCAGACGAGACTCCACGTCCGCCAAACGATCCAAGAGCGCTCTCTCTGGACTCGGTTCGGTCGTCGGTGCTCTACGGTACTCGAAAGCAACGCTGTCGGAGACAACGAACCCGTCACACGCAACCTGAAGAGACGCTATTCCCGGAGCATGAGCAGGACAACGGCAACGCAACACGCCTGGTTGCACCAAACAGGCTTCCACCGGTTCGGCATCGAACAACACCGAATACGATTGTGAATTACTGCCACCTGTCCAGGGGCCAGCAACCAGAACCTGCGACAGGGTACAAAATACCGTCATTACGGAATTTACTAAGCAACTTCGTGTTGTATACTTTTAAAATTACTATTTGCCGTCGTGAAAGATCGACACTCTAACACGTTCACTGTCCATGGCCCATACATGGGTCATATCACTGTACTGTTGGAGACGCCGCTGAGAAACCGGACAGTGAACGTGTTAATAGTCGAAAAGATATAATTGCAAAATCACACGAGAATCCTTCGATAGGCTTGCGAACAAATATTCTCAAATTTGGAAACTTATAATAAATATTTTTCAACGCATCTTGTATACTGTTTCTAATAATACTTCTATCGCTCGAAAGACAATATAACAAAGAACGAATCTATTTGCATCCAAACTAGACTAGTAAAATTATAAAATGGCGGCTTGCTGTTGCAGAAAGTAGCGTAAGTGATGATAGCGGGAGGAAAGAAAAGAAAAAGGGGAGCGTCTTGTCCTGGGACGAGTGCTTGCAAGAGAGGTACGGGTCGAGGGCAGCCCTCTGCCGGCGAGCGCGGGAAGCGCGTACCTTAACACCACCCTCGGTGTAACTCCACTCCGGACTATATTCCGCAATATGGACGGTTGTTCCAGGATGACATCCCACGTCGTTATCGGATCCGCCTCTCTCCTCGGCCTTCGTTTGTTCAGCTTCGAAGTCGTGCAGCTCCGGCAGATCGCCGAACACGTCGAACGCGTCCAGATTTACCAGAACGTCGTCCGACGAGTCGATGAAATCCATTGGATTGATCATGCTGTTGTCCGCCGGTGAAGGGGACGGAGACGGGGGCACCATGTTCGCGGATAACGTTCGCTGAATGTCCTCTTGACTTAAATCCAAGGTCTCGGCGAAATCGGTGACCTCGGAGCCAGCGCCACCGATCGGCAACGTTTGCACCGCGGAACGATCCATGCTTTCCTGAGCGTCGATCTCCTGCTGGGTCTGTTGTTCCCTGTCGACGCTCGTCTGCTGCACGATCTGTTGTTCCGTGACCTGTTGCATCTCCACTTGTTGGCTCTGTTGCTGTTGTTGTTGCTGCTGCTGCTGTTGCTGTTGCTGCTGCTGCTGCTGCTGTTGTTGCTGTTGCTGCTGCTGCTGATGATGATACGGTTGACTGTTGAGTATCAAAAGACCGCCGCCGCCTTGGATCTGTTGCAAACTTAACACTAGTGGAGCCGGCTGTTGGCTTTGAGTCGTGTGGGAATGTCTTGAGTATACGCGAGGAGCCGGTGAAGCTGTCGTTGACGATTGCTGACCTCCGGTAGTCGAGGAAACCTAACCACCAACAGAGAAGCAATCGTTAAGAAAGGAACGTTCCTCTGTAAATATCGAGCGCTCGTGATTCGTTACCTGATTGTCCGGTGTTAGTCTCCTAGGTGCAAGCTGAGTGCTGGTTGTGGAGGAAGTGGAGTTCGCGCGCTGTCTGTCCAACAGTTGCGAAACTATCATGTCGACGGAATGATTCGAGTGTTGTGTGAGATGAGGATTGTTCGGATCGTCATCTCCACCGAGGAACATGGGTCTGAGTTGAGAAACCAGCTCGTCGCGCGTCCACTCTTTCTTGTCTGGCGGCAGTGCGAGACACGGTGGCAGCGCCGCTAACTTTGCATCACCGTCCGGATAAGGAACGTTTAAGTAGTGAACGAGAACGACGTCTGGGTTCTGCAGTAGCCAATAACATCGCCGATGAAACGTCGGAAGGATCGCCGAGTGCACGTAACAGCCGTAGATGCACTCGCCACCCTGGACCTGCGACACCACCGAGAACAAATCTCACTCTGACGACGCTCCAGCCCGATTTAAATACACCCTTTCGGGCGTAAACTAAACCAGGAAGCTACCTTCAGTTTCATGTGATCCTCTCGTGTAGTTTTGCCGTCTTTTCTTTTCTTCCAGCAATAACCGTCCCGCCGGTAACGGACTTTCTTTCTCGAGTACAGTAACATCGAACCACTGCGCGGTCGCACCTTCACCTCCCGACTTTGCCATTCCGCGTGCCTTTGGAAACTTATCAAGATGGCGGCGATTTCCTGCCAACAAGATCGCAACCTTTTAATCGAACGACCTCGGATCCCCGCGCAGGACGATTCTGCAAACTGGAATTTCTCAGACACGAATTTCTAAGACTAATTTGTCCACCTTCCTGAATTTTTTCTTCGAAACTGCGTACGATTTCGAGGGTATGTCTATTCACCAAAAATGATTGTAATTGACCCTCGCAACTAAAAATAATTTTTTCAGAGCAATTTGAAATTTTTTTTTCCGTCGAAAAATTTCAGACCTTCTCGAATTTGTTTCTCGAAACTGCGTACGATTTCGAGGGTATGTCTATTCACCAAAAATGATTGCAATTGACCCCCACAAGTAAAAATAATTTTTTCAGAGCAATTTGAAATTTTTTTTTCCGTCGAAAAATTTCAAACCTTCTCGAATTTTTTTCTAGAAACTGGGAAAGAATTCGGGGGTATGTATATTCACCAAAAATGATTGCAATTGACCCCCGCAACTAAAAATAATTTTTTTAGAACGACTTAAAAATTTTTCTTTTGGCCGAAAAATTTAGGCACCTACTCCCCGTCGATTTTCCTTACAAATTCGTTTTTCATTTTTAATATATTTGTTCGACGCCCTATGGAAATGTTGTGTAATACTTTTTTATAGGTACCCATGAGCACTACTTCAGAAAAAAATTTCGTTGAAATATATTTACTATTGTAGAAGTTATGGCCATTTGAAAATCGGACCATATCTATGGGGTTTTTGTCACTTTACGGGGTAAAGGAACAATTTTTCGAACATTTTTAGATTCTCTACTCATTCTTCATCAAAATACACGTAATTTGCATTTTGAAACATTAAAATCCTCCAATCCGTTCAGAAGTTATGATGTTTTAAACATACTCATGAAATTTCAGGGGAATGAATCAATGTATGGTCAGACATTGCATTTTCGGTAAAGAATTTTTTTCTCGAAAGTGCGTAGGATTTCGAGGGTATGTTTATTCACCAAAAATGATTGTAATTGACCCCCGCAACCAAAAATAATTTTTTTATAACGATTAAAAATTTTTTGATTTCGTCGAAAAATCCGTCCATCTTCAGAATTTTTTTTCTCGAAACTCCGTAGGATTTCGGAGGTATTCCTATTAATAACAAATGATTGTAATCGATTACTGCAACTAAAAATAATTTTTTTAGAACGATTTGAAAATTTTTGATTTCGTCGAAAAATTTGCCCATCTTCAGAATTTTTTTTCTCGAAACTCCGTAGGATTTCGGAGGTATTCCTATTCACAAAAAATGATTGTAATCGATCCTTACAACTAAAAATAATTTTTTTAGATCGATTTGAAAATTTTTGATTTCGTCGAAAAATTTGTCCATCTTCAGAATTTTTTTCTCGGAACTGCGTAGGAATTCGGAGGTATTCCTATTTATAAAAAATGATTGTAATCGATCCCTGCAACTAAAAATAATTTTTTTAGAACGATTTGAAAATTTTTGATTTCGTCAAAAAATTTGTCCATCTTCAGAATTTTTTTCTCGAAACTGCGTAGGATTTCGGAGGTATTCCTATTAATAAAAAATGATTGTAATCGATCCTTGTAACTAAAAATAATTTTTCCAGAACGATTTCTAAGTAGCAATTGTCTAGACAGCAGTACCCCCTTAAGGCAACTGTTCGCTACAACGAATATTGACAACATTTTTTTCTAACCGTTAAAGTGCAGTGACTTTCGAGTCCTTTTCATCCATAGAGCGGTCGTGTTTCATTTTATTTTATATTCCCGTTACGTCACGGTGCGCGACACACTTAGAAACTGCAACCGGAAACTCCTCGAGATGACGAAGATAAGGCAACGTCGAGGGAGGGAAGTGGGATACACGGATTCGAGGGAACATACAGACGCTCTTCAGGCAGCCTCGCTGACATCTGCCATTTCCGTGGATTTCGCTTACTTTTGCAAATCGTGCTGATACATCTACGATCCACCCCTCCGATCCCCGTGTTCGCGGGGCCGAGGGACTCGCGCAAAATATTCGCATACATTTTCGCCGACTACGTTAAGGGATTCCTCGCATTGGAGTTCCCGCTACTGTCGGGACGCATGCAAAACACGGAAAGAAATATGAATCGCAAACTCGTCCGTACGTGGAAAATCACCCACGGAGATCGTTTATTATCCGCGAACCTTTCTCGTTGTACGCGGATAAAAGAATATTCGCGGGGACTTTAAATAATACGTCGCGTACCCCGAGAGCGTCTAGTGAAAGCCACGTAACAGATTCCACGATTTATCCGCAGTAAACGTTCAAGAAGGCACATTTGGAACGCCGTTGGTAATTTTAAATATTGGTTTTGGCAACTAAGTAATCGCGGATTTTTTTAATAAAATAAGTGACAATTTTTTCGTGGAACAAAATAACTCTATTCAGCAAAGTTCATTTTTAACGATGACCTTTTGCCATCTTTCATGCACAAAAGTTATGGTTTTTTTTAGCAAAAAACTGAACCAAGTGTGATTTGATATCGTCATCGTTATTAAAATTTTTGGCCTTGCATTATCATGGTGGAACACTATATCTTTACGATTTACCAATTCTGGTCGCTTTTCTTGAATTGTCTCGACTCGATTCCAATTTTAAAAAACAAAAACGACCGCCTCTAATTCCGAGTTTCGTCGAAGATATTTTGCGAATGTAACCAGCGGTTTCGAAAATGCTTCAACGTTCAATCTCCAGGCGACTCACCCTCGCAGAATGTAAGCAGAGTTCGATCTATAACGTGTTCCAGCAACAAATCGATCCCGCGCTTTCGCGAAAGCGTTTCAGCTTGAGGCGAAAACGCGAAGAATAACGCTCGGCGTTCGTTTCCTTAGTATTTACGTACCACTAATAATAGTAACTCGGTTATTATACGGTCCTTCATCGATTTTCAGCGCGAAGAACCGACCGGTACGATTCCGGAACGTGACAGTGCACCGAGGGGCGAGCTAGGAAGCGGGGAAAACGAGTTGTCGGGAAACGGGGGAAAAAGAAAAGGAAGAAAATATGAGAAATATAATTACCGGCGAACAGATTTCGCGTGGTTAATCGTGACACGTCGTTCTCCGCGCCGAGATTGCACCCTTGCACGACTCGACATGCAACCGCCAGCGCGAGAAAGGGGTGGATAGATGGAGAAACAGAGGAGGGGAAAAAACGTGCACGGGGAATAAGAGAAAGAATTCGGTCGTATAAATATTCGAAGAACGGTACGAGAGATGGTTATCCGTCGTTTCCATCGACGACAGAACGGAGAAAAGCAGCCTCTCCGGTTGCAAAAAATTGAACACTTGTCGGGGGAGGGGGGACGGGGTGGAAATAAGTAAGCGTACACGGCCAGAAACGGCGTTGCACGCGATCTGACGTGGGTAAATGCAAATCGAACGCCAAACTGCGGGCTGATTCGACTAACCATGGAAAGGTGGCTGGCGGCAATAAAATTCTACCGGCGTTGATATAAAGTTCAAGTCGTACTCGCGTGTCGCCTTCGTTTGGGAAATCGCTGCCAATCGGCTCGACGCGGCGCAACGATTCCTCCGGGCCAACCGTTACACGGAATTTATTTCGTTCCAACGGGGAACCTTCGTCCTACGAAATAATTCGGGGGATAACGGTGCTCGTATAAGAGAATTTATATATTTTATATTAGCGTTCGAGAGAAAATGTAATGATAACTCTGGATTCAGGTGATTCGATCTCATATTTCATAGATACTAATGAGGCTCGAAATTTTTGATATTGAAATTTCCTCGTTCAAAAATCAGGTTTACAAATTGCAATTGAATTATAAGCCTCAATATTAATTCTATTTTATTGTATGCACGTTTTTATATTGTATACTATATATTGTTTATCTATAGGCACTATTCCCTACCTCGTCTGTAAAAATATCATATTTTATTTTGTAAATAAGCAACATCGAGGAGCAGAATACCAAATGTATAATCGGTTTGGTAAGCTTCCATTCTTCCGTAAACCTACTTTACCTGCTTTTGTTTATTAATTTATGTTCATCGACGTTTCCTGCCAATATTTTTCGCGAAAGTTTGCCAGTCGTTTTCGCGCGATATAATAGGAATGTCTCCGACGCCATATCGAGAATAGCGCAGATACCACGAAGCAATCGAAGCTACACGGCCGCAATGGCCGAGGAATTTCTCGTACGTTTTCCTCTGACAGACAGTCCCTGATTGGGAGGTCGCGCGTTTGGCAAGCGAAACCCACAAATCGCACATTTCAAATGAGGTATGGTAAGATCGCGCTCGCTTGCGGCGATGTCGCATTACAGGGACGAATCCTGTTTGGTGTTTAGGGGTTGAGGGTGGCGTGTGTTTCCTCTCCAACCGCGTAACGAAATTAGCGGAAAGAGCGACGCAAGAATACGCGATTCGAAGCAATACTCTGGCTTTAGAGCATCACAGAGAATATTGGGTCTCGTCCAAGATAATTAACGATTTTCTTCGTTCCGTTAGTAATTGTAAAGGAATGCAATATCATGATCTTTCACCAACCCGCTCAAGAAGCGCGCCTTCGATCGACAAAAGCGATGGTTCAACGGAGCAAAATTTGGAAAATATGTTAGAGATATATTGCGTTCCCAGCAACGACGCGAAAGACTTTCGAAACGACGCTCTAAAAATAAACGAAACCAACAATGAACATGCAACGAGCTCAGGATATATTTTTGCAAGCGATACAGAAAGTGCTTTCGAAAAAATATATGTTAATACATATGCTGTATTTCACTTCTCGTGCTCGCCAACAGAGGGCTACGCTCGACCTTTCTTTCTCACAAGCTCTCGATCGACCACTCAATGTCTTGATCTCTAATGCAGGCCTGGGTTAGTTAAAGTTAAAATTTTAGCAATTTGTCGTCATTATTGAAAATAAAATTAAAATTCACGTGACACATTCCATATAAGAAATCATATTCACTCTTCGCAGAAACTAAATGAATTTACTTTCAGATCTTTACATTAGAAAT